GGCAACCTTTAATCCCGGTTTGAACCACAAACCAGGACTAAAGGTCCCTGCTGCAAAAGTCTACTGCATTATCCATTGGGCAGAGGATTCTAGTCTCGGTCGGTGGTTCCAACCGGGACTAAATCTCCTATTACTCCGGGCCAAATTCTGGTCAGAACTAAAGCCAAAAACCGAAAGTCCGTTGGTATATATTCAACACATCACACTCATCTGCAAGCTTAAAAACGTACAATCTCATCAGTGTCTTGAGTTTTCCCTGGCTCCATTTGAGCACAGGGTTCGCTACTACTATCAACCAATAAAAAAAAACGAAGCCAAGTTTATGTCTCACGCTTCTTGGTCACCTAGCTTTAAGCGAGTCAGTTTTTCTAATCTTCAAGCACTAAAGCATCGTTGTTGCATCTCTTCCAATATTTTTGGCATCGGCATCACTACCAGCACGCAGTGTGTGGAGCAGTGCTCTCTCTCTCTCACTATATTCATTGGGCAGAGGATTCTAGTCCCGGTCGGTGGTTCCAACTGGGACTAAATCTCCTATTACTCCGGGCCAAATTTCGGTCGGGACTAAAACCAAAAACCGAAAGTTCGTTGGTATATATTCAACACATCACACTCATCTGCAAGCTTAAAAACGTACAATCTCATCAGTGTCTTGAGTTTTCCCTGGCTCCATTTGAGCACAGGGTTCGCTACTACTATCAACCAATAAAAAAACGAAGCCAAGTTTATGTCTCACGCTTCTTGGTCACCTAGCTTTAAGCGAATCAGTTTTTCTAATCTTCAAGCACTAAAGCATCGTTGTTGCATCTCTTCCAATATTTTTGGCATCGGCATCACTACCAGCACGCAGTGTGTGGAGCAGTGCTCTCTCTCTCTCTCTCGCCCCCAACCCCCCCCTCAAAGGGATGCTTTCATAGCGCACAGGTGTCGAGCAGTTACCCCTCGGCGTCCAACAAATCCATTTATAAGCACCGAGGAAGTTGTCATATGTTAGAGAGACTTGTTTTATGACTTATTTGGATGAACTTTAGACTATGCTAATACATATGGATTGAAATAGATTTGGAGCTTGTTTGGCTACATTCATATCATCCTCAATCCACGTGGATTAGAATAGATTGAGACAAAAATTAGTTAATTTTCCATCTAGTCCATCCTAAGACTATCTTCAATAGTCCAAACCCAAATACAAGACCCATTCTAAGAATTGGGTCACGATCAGTCACTGGGTCACCCACCCAAAATTTCCTTTCTCCAACAGCGAACCCGAAAATATCTACCGCCTGCTCCCCCATTCCTCTCCCTCCAACTCTCCAGAAATCTCTCCCTCTCTCCATGACCGGCGGCGGTGCACCCGCGCATGCATGTGCACTCTCTCCCTCTCCTGATGTGGCAGCGCACCAGCCAGCCTCTAGCGTGGCGGCGCGCCCGGTTGGGCCTCGGCGGCGGCTAGCCCCCTCCTCGCCCCTCTCCTCCTCCGGCCGTGCGCCTCTCTCTCTCTCTCTCTCTCTCTCTCTCACCGCCCCCCTGCGGTGCTCGCCCGCCGGAGCTCTGGTGCGGCCAGGCCTCGGCGGTATCCGCAGCCGCGACCGGGGCTCCGCGGTGCCCGCCCCCAAGACAGGTGCGGGAGCCCCTGCGCTAGGGCGAGCGCACCCCCTGGCGGCGTCCTTGGGCGAGCGCCCCCTCCCCGGGTGGCGCCACTGACATCGACGCTCCGACCTCGCCTCCCCGTGGCCGTCGTCGGGTCCGCCTCGCCGTCGTCGTCGGGCCCTCCCAGATCCGGCGAGGCAGCCAAGCCGGTGGCTCCGGAGGTGCTCCCATGGCGCCTCCCGACTCCCTCCCCGCCTCGCCGTCGTCGTCGGGGCCCCCTCACCGGCGAGCTCCCTCCCCTGCGTGGTCGCGCCGGACTCCTGCTCCCGCCTTGCCTCCTTCAAGCCGTCGCGCCGCAGAGATATGGGTCGAGGAGAGGGAAGGACGTTTTTTTTGCGTTTCCTTTGGGCTTGTAGCCAAAATGCGTCGTGTGGTTGGGTCACCCATTGGAGCCGGTATTTGATAGACAAAGCACTATGCGAGACTCATTTTTTAGGTTTAGGTAGCTCTGTTGGAGTCAGTCTAATACATTTGAATTGAGGTGGGCCAGATGAGTGCGGGCAAACAGCAAAACAAAATCTTCAAGGACGATATGAGATCGGCCATCAGTGCATCATAGTGTGATGATGGTTGTGGGTGATGGCGAAGAAAGAACGCCATCAGTGCTTGACACTGCATGAGAACAGTGGCAAGCAGCAGGCAGGGGACAGACAGTAGGACTAGGATATGATGGATCATCGGAGAGGCCGTACAAAAGACGCAGCACACGTGTCCTAAAAAACATGCTTGATGACACAGAAATTCAACTAGAGCCTTGTTTAGATTGCAAATTTTTATAATCTGGACACTGTAGCACATTTTATTTGTATTTGACAAACTTTGTCCGATCATGGACTAACTAGGCTCAAAAGATTCGTCTCGTGATTTACAACCAAACTGTGTAATTAGTTTTTTTTATCTACATTTTTATGCTCCATGCATGCGTTCAAAAATTAATGTGATGGAGAGAGAATGAAAAAACTTGGAATTTTGAGGTAATCTAAACAAGGCCTAGCTGATGGTGGAGCTCAAAAATGATTACTGTTGCGCAATGTACATTTTTATCTGTAGCTTATTATATACTGGTGGTTGCTCTCAAAAGAGCGAGATTGCTTACTGTACTGGCGGTTGCTCTAAAAAAAAAGATATTGGCGGCCAAAGCACAAAGCAAAGCAAAGGGGTGCGCGCATGATGATATGATATGATATGATGTGCGATCGATGGACACATGAACTAAGCTAGTGTTTGAATTATGTGACTAAAATTTAGAAGATGTGTCAGGAGGATGTTGCATAGGATGTTTAAATATTAATAAAAAATAAATTATATAATTCGTCGGTACTCCACGAGATGAATTTTTTAAGCCCAATTAAGCCATCATTAGCATATGTTTACTGTAGCACCACATTGTCAAATCATTATCTAATTAGACTTAAAAGATTAATCTCACAAATTAATCACAAACTATACAATTAGTTTTATAATTAATCTATATTTAATACTTCATGCATATGTCAAATATTCAATGAAACACCCACTAAATTTAGAGGCAAACAAACACCACCTAACAGCCGACATGCATCGGGACCGAAAAAACACAATACTGTACTAGTGTACTGTGTCGTCAACTCAAATGTACTGTCTGCATCTGCGGGGCTTCCTCTGCTAGCTAGGATTGATTGTTCGTCATCACATATAGTACGTACGTAGCTTAACTTGCAGGTCTGGAGCTAGGGCCTTGTTTAGATTGTAAGGTTTTTACTCTTTTTATTACATTAAATCTTTAGACATATGTATGTAGTATTAAATGTAGATAAAAAAATAACTAATTATATAGTTTGATTGTAAATTACGAGACGAATCTTTTGAACCTAGTTAGGCCATGATTGGACAATAATTATCAAATACAAACGAAATGCTATAGTGCCAAATACTGATTCCTAACCCCAATCTAAATAAGGCCTAGATATATATGCTTCATCGTTTCCAAATTCTAGCCCGTGTTTAGTTCCAAAATAACTTCCCAAAAAGTGATACAGTACCCATCATATCGAATCTTGCGATACGTACATGGAGCATTAAATGTAGACGAAAAAAAACTAATTACACAGTTTGGTGGGAAATTATGAGACGAACGTTTTGAGCATAATTAGTCCATGATTGAACACTAATTGCCAAATAAAAACGAAAATGCTACAGTAGCCAAATCCCAAAATTCCCTCAAACTAAACACGCGCCTAGCTTGCTTTGCCTTTGGTTCAAAGCGTGTGAAACTTAATATTGATCAAAGTTTTAGAAGAGAATTAACATATGTGCAAGATAAAGTAAAACACACTACCACAGCATATTGCATATAGCTTCTATCTAGTATTGGAGACTTGCATGGTTTTTTTTTTTTTTTCCATGCTACCCACTTGCATTGGGAGGCACTTCTCATTTAGAGCACCAAAAGCTAGTGAGTGACATGTGAGGTGTGGCCATATATGTGATTGAAATAAGAGTAAAACGCACCAGCAACCCTAAATTTACCAAGGAGTATCACATGGTCCGTTAACCTAAAAGAATGTATAAAACTTTTATTAGGTCCTTCACCACAAGTCCGTACTCTTCGTCTCTTCCACACGAGATGGAGGTAGCTTAGTGCTGACATGCGTGCATGGCATGTTTGACTCTACGCCTCTCTCTCCCTCAGGGCACTCCAAACCTTTGAAAATAGAATAGTTTCTATATTCATTAGTTAGGATGCTAACTGAGCAAAATTATGATGTGATTTTAAAATTAAAGAAGAGGTATGGGAAAATAGTTTTCATATAGACAAGAAACTATGTCTACATGGAAACTAAGATGTGAAGAGATGTGATAGAGAAGACACACAATTAGACAATTTTTTTTAAAAAATTATCCATTTGACATATGATTTCTATATATAGTGTCTAGATGATTCTTCTTTTTTTTTTGTGAACGGGTGTCTAGATGATTCAGCAGGTATAATAAAAACCATCTCATTGCTTTGGGACTATATATTCTCAATCTGTCTACCAAAACGGTCTGCATTCATTTCATGGAGCATGGGCCTAGCCCAAAGAGGGAGGTCATCATTAGTGACGGATGTAGCCCTGGGCCTAGTCCAAAGAGGGATCTCAATCTCGGCCCATGAAGGCATGAAGGAATACCGGTATTATTGTATTGCATTTTTGTTCTTGGCCATGGCAATTCCAGTCCACAGAAACAAGAAAGAAGAAGAAACGGGGAGGCAAGCAGATCCAAGCGAAGCGAAGAAGCTGCGTCGTGGCCTGACCCTGACCCGTCCCTCCTCTCCTCCGGCGAGAGCAAGAAGAGATCCCGCGCCGTCCTCTCCTCCACCTCCACCCATGGCGACCTCCACCTTCAGCGGCGACGAGACGGCGCCCTTCTTCGGCTTCCTCGGCGCCGCCGCCGCGCTCGTCTTCTCCTGTAAGCACCCATCAGATCTCTGTCCCTATCTCTTTCCCGCGGGGATCCATCCATTCCTTACTCCCCCTCCCCTCACCCTCTCTCTCTGATGATGCCTAGGCATGGGCGCCGCCTACGGGACGGCCAAGAGCGGTGTCGGCGTCGCGTCCATGGGCGTCATGCGCCCCGAGCTCGTCATGAAGTCCATCGTCCCCGTCGTCATGGCTGGAGTCCTCGGCATCTACGGCCTCATCATCGCCGTCATCATCTCCACCGGGATCAACCCCAAGGCCAAGTCCTACTACCTCTTCGACGGCTACGCGCACCTTTCCTCCGGACTCGCATGCGGCCTCGCGGGGCTCGCCGCCGGCATGGCCATCGGCATCGTCGGAGACGCCGGAGTCAGGTGCTGTACTAACTCTGATTGCAGTCGCAATGCTTTGTCATTATATGTTGATTTAGCTGTGCTATGCTTGTCATTCTAGGACCTGACCTGTTACTATGCTGTTGTTTGTGCCTGGAATATCTATGTCCCCGTGGCTCTACAGCATCTGAACTTCAAGGAGACAAAGATTCACATTGTGTTGCTACTTTCTCTGAATTGAGCATACTTCAACGTCAGTAGTTATGTATATCAAAGTTGTCCATCTTTGACCCTAGAGAAATTGTAATCAAGAGAAAAGTTCATTCATGACGTTGGTGTGTCCATTTAACTTGCGAATTAGAGTACGGTAGTGGCTCATCCACTGAGACCTTGCAAACCTTCATGAGGTTGATTGATGCTTATATATTATAGACGAGTTATTTTCATTTAACTATGTCTATGCTTCTCGGTTTAAGGATTTTTTTAGTGTGACAAGTGACATGATACTATGCCTTTCTGGAGGGCATATCTATGGCCCTGTGCTGCAGCCCCCGAATCTCAAAGAACCAAATATTTGTGCTATGTTACTACTTCCACTGAATTGAGCATGCTTCAGTAGTTGCATATAGCAAGGTTACCAGTTTTAGCTCCTTTGCATCTCTCAAACATGCAAATTACGTAGATAGTGAGATAGCAGTGGATTCATTGATACCTCGCAAACCTGTTTTTAGCTCTGATTTTGAATTTCACAATTTACACTCCTTCAGTCCAGCTATGTGAATCTCATTTCATGATCTGTTCCAAGGAATGGAGTTTTTAAGATACTCATCTGTTACACTGCTCCATGTGAGCTAGGCATGTTCCCTGGACTTGGGGAATGGGGAGGGAGGAAATTGTTAAAGGGCTGTGGCCTGTGGGCCTGTGGCATTAAGGATCCCTTTTGTAATTTTGGTTGTTGGGGTTTGAGGAAATTCTGTTGTGAAATCCCTAACACTTCCGTTCCGTATGCTAATACCATCACTAACAATTTGCCTTGATTTTTCTCAGCTGACCTGCTTTAATGAGTTCCGTCAATGAAGGGCATGCAAACACTTCTATTCATTTCTGTTCCTATGTTATGCTTCAGTACTTATGAAGCTCTGTTATACCAAGTTAGTTCTGGTTGAGTACAAATAATATGCCATTGTACCCACCAGTTTCTGTTATTTGTTGCTTGTATCCACTATATTTTATTATCAGGGAATACATTTTGTTACGCCTCTAGATTTTCTACATATTCGCCCTTGTTTGCAGTAAGTTGGCACCCTTGCCTTATTTCCAGTTGACCTTCTTTAACATATTTGTAAATGAATGTCAGGAAAATAATTTAATTGGTTTCTTTTGTTACCTTAGCTTTTTGGTACTTCTAGAGCTCTCTTGTACTAAGTTTATTCAGAGTGAGCATAAATAGTATGCCCGCTATAGACAGCAGTTTATTTTATTTATTGCTAGTATGCACTAGATTTTCTTTATCAAGGGGTATATATTCTCTTACACAGTCAAATTTTCTACAGCTTAAACCTTATATAATTATATCCAGCAAGGTGTCATTCTTATCTGATTCTGATTTATTATCTCCTCTCCAGGGCGAATGCACAGCAGCCAAAGTTGTTTGTGGGCATGATTCTGATTCTTATCTTCGCAGAAGCTCTTGCTCTTTATGGTCTCATCGTTGGTATCATCCTCTCATCCCGTGCTGGCCAATCTCGCGCCGATTAGAAGGCTTGATATATGGCACACGAGTCATCTGCCATTGTATTCAAAGTGTTCTTTTCTCGGTGAACATTAGCTCCGGGATCATGTTGAGCCTGTTACACCTTTGTAATATTATATTACTATTCTGCGAAGACAAACCTAGCTAGCGCTTGTAGTTGTGGTGTTGTATTTATTTGAAATAATAGGCAGCAAGCCCCGGATGTGATGAATAATAAGCAAGCTGGGACTAGTTTTTTTTTTTTTTTTTTTTTTGTGGATTGGTTTTGTTTATGTCTAGTGTTTGCAGTTCTTCCTTGTTTCATGGGGTGTTGGTGATGCCATATTGTCATTGCTGACTACGATTGCACTTATGAGAATTTTTATTGATTTTAGTATAGTTTCTTGTTACTTCCATAAAATCCTGCTGATCTAACTGGCTATTTTTTACATCTTTTTTTAAAAAAAAATGTAATGCAAGATTAAGTATAAATTGTGTGACAGAGTAGATTTGTGCACATCTCATTTAGCTAAGGTTGGAGGCTGGAGCAAATCATTATATAACACTTGTCTTATTGACTAAGGCCACATTTTGTTTATACATAGGGAAAAATGGAGAAAAAGCATAGGATTGGGAATCTTATAGGAATTGCTATTGTTTGACTTTGGTTCACACGAATAGAGTATAGAAATTGTTTCTTTGACTGTTGTTTTGGAGGAAATTTAGCATCCGGTCAAACCTCTTTGTAAAAATCTTATATTTTTTCTATGACCTATATGAATGATCATTCTGTCAAAATTTCTATGTATTTCTTATTTCTATGTTTTTGGTTTCTTGTGTTCCAAAGGAGACCTAAAAGTTATTCTAAATCTGTTAGGAATTCGGTTTCTTGAAGCAACATTTTCAGGGAGGAATCAGTTTCACTTCTAGTTCTGACTAAGGGATTCTCTTGTTTGTCTCTAGAAACTGATTTTATTTGGTATCTCTTGTTTTCCAAGAGAATCAGTTTGGAGTATTCCTACCAAAGACAATCCAAATAGTAAAAGAGCTAACACTTGATATTTTATAACTAAGGGTGCCACATAAGACAATACAAGTGTAGAAAAATCGTAAATTGTGGCCTCCATGTCTTGAAAAACTACCACGTGGACAATTTTAAGCTATTATTAGGGTTATGGTTTAAGCATCCTCTCTTTGTGGGTAGCTGTAGAGGAAACGTCGGGAGGTTCAAAGGAATGTTGGCAAGTACTAGTAGTGTCGTGACTCGTGAAGCAGGAGAGGTACCTCTGAAGGAAGAGTATGGAGTGTGTAGAGTAAGGAGATAAGTGAGTTGACTAATTTCGTAGATTGATACTCCCTCGAATAAAAAAAAACTTGTTGGTAAGGATAAGACTTTGTTAAACCTTAAAAAAAACCATATAAACATCGTTTCTTCGTGTCCCTGGAGCGCCGCGGAGGACGACGGCGACTACGAGGACGAGGAGGACCTCGAGGAGGCCAACCGCTCCTTCTCCCGCCCGCCGCAGGCGATCCCCGAGTACTACTACGACCGGTCCGGGTCCTCCGCCTCCTTCGCCACCGCCAAGATGTGACGACCAGGCATGGCATGGATCGCGGGGCCGGCCGTTCAGCATGCGTGATGATACCATCCATTTATTGATTTATTATTAGTTCTTGCTTGATCCGTTGTGTTCCTAGCCAAGAACAAAACAAAAAAATGCGGCGCTCCGTCCCCATATATTGTAATAGTTGATGGATCTGTGACTCCGTACCGTGAGTTGTCTGATGATTTGATTTCTTTTATTTTTTCCCTTATTATGGGCTCCAAAATTGCTGCAGAGATCTCGAGCGACTCTGCAAATTTCAGATGTGTGTCATTCGAAGATTCAATGTTCGTCTGCATGCATATGCATTTACTTTCGCGTGTCACACAATCATGCCAGAGTGCATTTCCCTTAGCCAAAGTTTTAGTTTTATATACTACGGATTGATGAAACACAAAGGACCATGACCTCCTTGCATTTGGCAACGTCAACCAAGTTGTGAACCAGCATGAGCCCCTGCTGCCTCATAATGTTCGTCATAAGGTTCGCAGGGACAAGGTGGCCGATTGCACAGGCACCCAAACAATTGGCCCCCTAAAAACGGCCCATATATCCCGTAACCCCGTGAGTTACTCTCCCAACGCTGATCCGATCGATTGCTTGGTATTCCGCCAGTCCACCTGGGTGCCTCTTCATCTTCTGCCGCCGCCCGCCCGTTCCTGCCTCCTGCAGCTTCCTCCCACTCTCAATCTCTTTCTTTTATCTCCCACTGATTCGTTCATCTGATTGATCGACGTGGCTGCCGGCCACTAACTTTTGGAGTGCTTTCGGTTCTTCGATGCGCGAAATGTGAAGGGCAGGGAGAGGAGCAGACGGCAGATGCGGTGCATCAGACAACACTGATCGTCTCGAGCTCTTTAGTTCCCTGCGACGCAGTGCCGCCCGTGCCGGGTGCTAACCGGTGACCGCCGGCGCCGAGACGTACGGCAAGACCCAAGTGACGACGCTCTCAAGGTTCGATTCTTTTCTTACCTCTCGCTAACCCTAGAATTCATGCATATATACTGTTCTAAGTCGCATTAGTTAATTTAGTTTTGTTTGGATCACAAGCAGATCTCAAGCCTCGTCATGTATAGGAAGGATAGGAAGGATGAATCTGGCCATGAAAAGCGTAAGAAGAAACGAAGACTTGAAGCAGCTGCTCAATCTCAAAAGGGCGCTCTTGATAGATTTGTTGTGAAAGAATCTCGGTTCAGTCCTGAAAATCAAACTCCTAATGCTGATCCAGATGAGGGCTATGGCAACGATGCTAACATTGGAGTAAAGGTCGAGGCTCAGAATGCTGAAATTGTTCAAAGTGATCATGCTAATATTGCCGTTGCCGATGAAGTTAGTGGCCATGCTGATGTAGTTAATCCCAGCCTGGATACATCACCAAGTATAGAAGATAACAGCAGCGATGACATCAATAATGATTTGCAGCCAGATATATTTGATCCAAGAACTTGGGATACGCTTGATTCTAAAATGATTGATATTTTGGTGCAAAAGGGACCTAAAAGAGACCCGTCAATTGAGAAAGGTCCCAAAGACAAATTCTCCAGAAGGTTTTCTGCATCATCATACACTAGAGTTCTCTCCAATGGAGAAAAATGTGACAGGGAATGGCTTGTGTACAGCAAGGAGCTTGATAGAGTATTTTGTTTCTGTTGCAAACTATTGAGAAAGGGGCATGGAAAAGGTCATTTAGCAAATGAGGGTTTTAGGAACTGGCGTCATCTTGGCACTAGACTTAGAGAGCATGAAACTAGCGCAGAACATGTTATGAATATGGCTACTTGGTGTGAACTGCGTCTCAGGTTACAGAAGAATCAAACAATTGATAAAGTTGTTCAGCGAGAACTTCAAAAGGAAAGGGATCCTATCAAGTAGAACCGAAGTTAAACGGGCAGTGCTCATGAGGCCTTTATTTGAGGTCAAAATGTTCAGATCATTATTCTCAGACCATTCATGCATGCGCTCAAGTTTGGATATGTCTAATTGCAAATGGCGTCCGATCCTCATCTCATATGGTCTAATGGTTATATACTCATATGGAGTCATTGGAGTGTCCCTCATGTCATGATTGATGATTTTATTTGAGGGAATAGAATTAGCGTCACAAAAACGTTGTCTTGTACTGCACTTTGTTTCTTTAATCTGCTGACTGACCAAAAATGGCACGCCTTGGATTTTTTTTTTAATCGTGTATGATAGCTGTTGGCTATCATGAGGCCTTTTGGATTAACGACATTCAGATCATATGCCCTTAGCTTTACGCTTCCTTCAATTTTTTTATACTCCATTTGTTATATAATCTGTCTTGCAATTTTGTTAAATGATGCAATGCTCAATTGAGTGTATCAACTATTATCTTTTTTTTCAGAATTTCCATCGAAACTTTGCAAAATGAAGCTAAAAGCATAATGTTCTTCTGTATTCCCTTTTACTGTCAACTAGGGATGTAAATGGGTTTCGTAGGTTAGTCCACTTGCATCTATATTGTCAACATATCTGGTTCTAGTTTCGAATGCAGGAATTTTTTTCTTTTCTGTGTTTTTCCTATGAAATTTGAACGTACTGATTCCTTTGAAACGGACCCTAAATTTTACTACAACAGCCGCGAGCTATTCAATCCACATGACTGACACAGCGATATCATGCTGGCATACTGATGTTGCCGCGCCGACCAGTACGAGACCATTTTACTGTAATAGATTTAACTAATTGATAATTTATCTGAGAAGAACTTGGGTACAAGTATTGGTTTGCTTGTTGTATTTTCGGAAAAGGCCAATGTTAGGGGAAGTGGTTATTCCAATAGATTGCAGCTGATTATATATTGTATACAGCAGTTCCTAGTATTGAACTCTGATTGACCAAATTATTCAGCAATGGGAGTATGCAACAACGATGTAGTAGAGCAAGTATTATTTCAATTATTTAAATTTACAAACTGAGATATGCGCACCTGGTTAGGTTTGGAGATCTTGTTGCACCAGGTTCGTTAACTATGCTTGTTTTTTTGCGTTATATTACTATAATTGATAGAATGTTATTTCATACGTGGGGTAATATTTATGTGTAGGTGAACTGTGTGTATATGGAGTGATTTTACCGGCTTTACCGGTCATGTTGGAATGAAACAAGTGAACAAGTTGATCAAGTATGACCTAGTTAGAGGCTTGAAGAATGTCATATTTAAGAAAGATAAGCTTTGTAGTGCATGTCAAGCCAGAAAGCAAGTTGGTAACACACATCCTAAGAAGAGCATAATGAGCACATCTAAAGCATTTGAGTTGTTGCACACAGACTTGTTTGGACCAACCACATACACTAGCATTGGTGGAAACAAATATGAATTTGTGATTGTGGATGATTTCACTAGATATATATGGGTGTTCTTTCTTATTGATTAGAGTGATGTGTTTGCAACATTCAAG